CTGGAAACAGAGTGTCTCCTTCCCCCGCCCCGCCCGGCCGGGCCCCTGGCCCCGGGAGGAATGTAACATCTTGTAATGTGACAATCACTGACACACCAGGGCCCGGGAGGGGAGCCCCCGCCGGCGAGGCTTCCGAGGGACGTGGGGCCTCGCATCTCCCCCCCCCCCCCCATGTCGGTTTCTGTTTAGGGAAGAGGGCGGGCAGGGTGTGAAGCTGGCGGGGCAGATCCCAGGGAGGGAGGGAGGGAAGATCTGACCCAGGGGAGGCTTTCCTGGGGCCATTTGGGGTGACTTGACCCAGCCAGAACCTGGCAGTCCCCAAAGAGCACGGTCTGCCAGGGCCAGGGGCGCGCCCCACCCACCCGCTGGCCGGACCTGGGACCCCAAAGTGGAATGCACCTGGGACCCCCAAAATGGAACGCAAAGGGACCGGTATTTTAGGAGGAAGAGAGAGCTTCATTCTCAGAGATGCCTGACCTTACAACAGATGTAAGATACTGGCGGCCGTTGTTCCTTGGCGGGAAAGGAGTGGCTGGTGTCCTTTGAGCGAGTGCTTTGGACTCGGCCGGAGTAGAAGGAGGCAGGAGTGCGGGTTTTGCTCCTGGGTTTTACAGTCAATAAGGATGACTTTTTTTTTTTTTTTTTTTTTTTTAAATAAGGCAAAAGGACTTCTGCTCCCCGTCCCCCTTCTCGGGGAGGAGAGGGGTGTTCTAACAGCGGAGGGAACTATTCATCCCCTTCCAGCAATCCTCACTTTGCCCCTTTTCCTCCCTCCCCTTCCCACCACACAGCTGTTTGTAAACAGAGCTGCAGCCCGATGGGGCTCTCTCCGCCCCCATCAAACCTGATACTTCTTCCCCCAAACTCGCCCCACCGGTCTCGGAAATCCTTACACAGGACGGATATTCACAATTTTCACAAGTAATCCTGAAAGGAGGCCGAGGGGAAGCTTCCTAAACGGTCCCACATTGCAGCCGCGCTGATTAGGCCCAGGATCCGCTCCCTTTTCTTCTCCGCACTCCCCTGCCCGGCGGGAATGGGCGCAGCGGGAGGGGGTGTGTGTCTGCCTCCGGGGAGCGCTCAGGGCGCCCGCTGGGGCTGTGGGTGGGGGTGAGGTGGGGGCGGGGACAGGAGGGGTGGCGGGTGCCAGTCTGGGAAATGGGAACTCGGCGCTCTGCGGGGGTTTGCAGAACCCCACCACGAGGTGGGGCGGAGGGGGTCGGACACCCCTTGCTCTCTCCCGCCCCGCCTCCTCCCCGGGGCCTCCCAGCGCTTGTCATATCCAGTATCTGGCCTGATATTTCACGCGGGCGCATGGAAGGGGGGTGCAATGAAGATTTATGTGCGTTCCGAGCGCGGCCGGTTTCCCAGCGCTGGGAGACGAGATCGCCGCTTCCCATTTCCATTTTTCACTCGCGCTTTGGGGAGCGCAGTCGGGCGCGGGGGGCAGGGGGCGGGGGCGGGGGCGGGGGGAGCTAGTCTGCGGGCGGCGGCCGATCACAGGGCTCTGAGCCTCCCAGCGGGCCGCGGGACTGTGAGAAAGGCTTGCCAGCGCCTCGCCCCCGGCGGCTGGGCCGGTGCCGACCCCCCACTCCCCTAGCCCAGCTTTGTTTCTCTCCTCGCTCACCCGTCCCCACCCCTCCTGCCCGCTCGCTCACGTCTAGACCTGAGGCGCATCCTTGCTTCCCCCTTTCTTGGCCCTTCTCCTTGTCTGCGGAAACGCCCTCATCCTCTGGCCCCTGCACCCTCCTGCCCCCCGCTTCCCAGGGAAAGGCGCGCCGTGGCCCTACCCGACCCCTCCGCCGCCGGGTGCCAGGTTTGGTGACTCCGGCGAGTCTGTGGGGCCTCGGCCCACCCCGGAGCTGGGGCCGCCCGCCCTCCCGGCTCCCAGGCTTGCTCATGCCAAGGCCTGTTGCGTGATTCCAACTTGGGCTGACATTCCCTGCCCCGGGCGCTCCCGGCGTAGGCCTCTTAATCATCTTGTCTGCTGCAGATCCTCCACACCAGCCAATTTACGGCCCCGCTTCTCCTCGCTGGTTCCAGGGGGGTGGGGAGGGCAGTGCGCGCAAGGGAGGGGGGAGGGCGCAGTAAACCGCAGGGGGAAGCCTGGCACCAGCTATTGGCACTCAGAGAAAACCACAGAATTTGGAGCTGGAGCTGGGGGGGAGGAAGGGCTGGGAGGGGGTCTGCGAGGCAGGCGGTTGCTTAGGGGAAGCCAGAATCTCGGGGTCAATGGGATTCAGCCCAGGCCTCCTTAAGTCTGGGAAAACACGCAGGAATGCAAGCGGACTCAGGGTTGTGTAACCTCCCTGCCTTCTGCAGAGCCCCAACCCCCTGGACCACACTCTGCTGTAAAGCAGGCTCGGTGCAGGCCCCAGAGCAATCTGGCCAGGAAAATTGGATAATGCCACTGAGCGCAGAAACTCACTGCTGTCTGATGCCTGTCTTTTTGGCAGAAGTGAGTTGAGACACACAACAAGGATGAAGGGATCCACCATCCCAGAGAAGAGGAGGCCTGGTTCCGGCCAGCAGGGCTGCCTGGCTTGCCAACCTCCTCTCCAGCAGAGTCCGGCCCCTGTAGAAAGGATGCTTGAGGTTAAGCCTTTCACGCGCCAGAGGTCTCCCAGCCTCAGAGTGCTGCTCTTCCACACAAGATGAGGTTGGAAAGGCCTCTGGCTAACTCTGGGCCTCATCATTGCAAGCAAAAATTAAGGCTCTCTTGTTTGGGGGGCTCAAGCAATATACTACTCAGAGCAAAAATGTATGGAGTGCTTACTATGTGCCAGGCATTGTTACATCATTGCCTCATTAAATGCTCACGACTCTGAGACAGCTGTTTTTATTTCTCCCATCTCAGAGGTATGCACACCACAACACAAAGGTGAAGTGGGCAATCCAAAGTCATACCCGGAGTGAGCAAAGCCAGGAAGCTTCCAGCTGTAGGCCCCCGTGCTTTCAGGAAAAGGAACTTTAAGTTCAGGCCTGCGTTTCTCACCTACCCCGGGCCTTTGCAGAGAGTGCCAGAAAGTTAGGTCACTTCCAAAGCTGGAAGCCAGTTGGGTGGGACCCAAGGTGGAAAGCAAAGCTGAAGGATATGTGTGAACCTTTCTCCTCAGAGAACGTGAGGTGGGAGGATGCCACTGCCTAAACACTGAGCATCAGTCTCCATGTGAGTGTGCATGAGTGTGCCTGTGTGCATGAGTGTGCCTATGTGAGTTTGTGTGTCACTGTGTGTGCATTTGCGTCGTGGGGGTATCGTTCAGTATGAGCGTGTGACGGCGTGTCTGAGAGTGCGTGACAGTAAGGATGTGTCTGGGAGAGTCGCGGTGTGGGGCTGGTGTGTGCTGGGGAAGCCCTGTGCCTGAGGTCGCCCTGCATTCCAGAGCAGCCAACCGAGTCTCCCCAGGGCCTGGGTGACTCATCGAGTTCTCCACTCAGCCAACCCCCAAGGGCTGCGGGCACACAGAGGGGAGGGGCCGATGTAGGGGTTTGACCCCGGCTTCCACCGCGCCGGGGCTCCGGCTGCAGGCTCCCCGCGGCGGCGGCTCGGAGCACCGAGCGGCCAGCGTCTCGGACGCGGAGGCGGCGGAGACCTCCCAGGCGCGGGCCGGCGCCGGGCGGGCAGAGAGGGCGGGACGGAGCCGCCGGCCGGGCGGCGCGGGGTGACTCACTGCGCCTCCAGCAGACGAGCCCCGCGTCCAGACGCGGGTGGGGGCAGAGAGGGACGTGGCCCGCGGAGTGAGCCTGTCCCGGCCTCACCGCAGCTCGCCGCTCCCGCAGCCGCAGGGAGATGTACGCGGCGCCCTTGGCTGGCCAGGCCTCCGCCCGGGCAGCGGCCGGAGGTCCCAGGCCGCGCCGCCACGGTGAAAACGCACACATCCGATGAAAACAATAATTTATTTAAATAATATTCATAGTGTAAAACCAACACGAAGAGCATGTTGTTTTCATAATAAATAACCCCCAAATACCTTTCATTTCAAGAACAAAGACTTCAGGATAAGCTATTACAAATCTAAATCAGTAGCTTAGTTTAACTGAGAACATTTCTTAAGGGGAAAAAATAAAATAAAACGGAGGGGTTGCTGAGGTCACTGCTAAACTGGAGTTTTCACGAGTGAGAGGTTTACAAAAACAGTCCGAAATGATGAGTATTTTATACAAATAAATCAGTGGGGAAAATCTGCACAGACACCTTTATTTACAAACTATGTCGAAGTCCAGGCTAATGACCCTGAATAGATTTTTAAAAAAGATAATTTAAACTGTTTTTTTTTTTTGCACTGTCCACATATTAAAAAAATCATTTCCCCCCCAACATCAAAATGAGGTCATCCGCAAAGGCACCTAAACTTTTAAAAAATAAAAATAGAAATAAAAACTCCACGGGTGATGGATGAGGAGCGCGCTAAGGGGAGAGTTGGCGGCGGGAGAGAACGAGGCTCCATCCTCTGCAAACGGCGGGCCAGAAAGGCGGCGGCGGCGGGCGGCGGGGTCACGGGGCGTGTGGGGGCGGCGGGCCGGACGCGGGGGTCAGCCGCCGGGGCGCACGGCGCCTGGCCCGGGGCTGGCGAGGAGAAAGGAGCTTCTGAGCGCCCGGGAAGCCTGGCGGGCGGGGGAGGCGTCTTCTTCCCGGACTCCGCTCGCTGCCCGCGGCGAGGACGGCGCCGGACAGCCTCGCAGGGCGGCGAGGGGAGGGGAGGGCGAGGGGAGGGGAGGCGGCGAGGGGAGGCCAGTCTGAGGCGGGGCTCAGGGCGGAGGGGCGGCCGTGGCCCGCGGCCTGCGCCACGCCAGCTCCCGGGACCTCCGAGAGCAGCCGTGCAGGTCCCGGTGGCTCCGTGGCGCCGCGCAAGGGGCGGGCCACCCCGGGCCACAGCCCGGCAGTCCAAACCCCCGGCAGGGGCGGCGTCGGCGAGCCGGCTGGAGGGACCCTCCGGCGCGCGGGCGAGCGCTGAGGCTAGCGGGTCTCCCTCTCAGTCCCTGGCGCAGTCTCCCCGCGGCTAGAAAATCGTCCCGGCGCTCACCGGGGCGCCCCCGCCGCCTTGGTGCTGGTGCTGGTGTTGGTGATGGTGGTGGTGGTGGTGGTGCGGCGGCGGGGTCTGCGTGGGGTGCAGCAGCGGCGCCGCGGCCTGCAGGTGGGAGGCCGAGCCCGAGGCCTGGTGGTACCAGGGGTAGCTGCCCAGGAAGGCCGAGGCCGCGCCGCTGGGGCTGGAGCCCGAGCTGCCGCCGCCGCCGCCCCCGACCCGCGGCGGCGCCCCGAAGTCCCAGGAGGCGGGCGCCGAGGCCGGCGGCGACGCGCAGGGCGGCGAGGCGCTGGCCCCCGGGTGCTGCTCCGAGGGGAGCTCTCCGCTCTTCCACATCTTCTTGAACTTGGACCGGCGGTTCTGGAACCAGATTTTGACCTTTGTGGAGAAGAGGAACCGGAGCATGAGTGGAGGGAACCCGGCACCGGGCGGGGGAGGAGGGGAGACGGCGGAGAAAAGAGCAATAGCAGGAGGTGGGCGTCGGGCGCCTGGGCGGACCCGCGGGCACGGGCAGGTCCCTGCTCCTCGGGTCACGCTCCGCACAAAGCCCCAGACTGCGGGTTCGTGCCCCGCGGAGCTGCCGGCGGCGGGAGGGGGCAGAGGGCCCGTCCTTTTACCCGCTTCATCAGTAGAGCGGAGAGAGACTACGTAGGACCGGGATTCAGCTCCCAGGGTAGAAGTTTAGGCCGCCCAAGAGGTGGACCTTGACATCCTTGAAATTATTTTTAAAATATATATTAAAAAAAAAAAAAAACATTGTCCGGAACCTGTCCTCTTCCCAGCCACCCTAGACCGACTCCCTCTTCGCCCCTCTTCTTGCCCATCTCCCCCCTTCCCTGTCCTCCCCCCGCGGGCGCCCTCACCTGCGTCTGGGTGAGGCCCAGGGACGCGGCCAGCTCGGCGCGCTCGGGCAGCGCCAGGTACTGAGTCTTCTGGAAGCGCCGCTGCAGGGCGGCCAGCTGGAAGCTGGAATAGATGGTGCGGGGTTTCCGGACTTTCTTTGGCTTCCCGTTCACTATCCGGATCTCAGGTTCGAGGTCCTCTTTCTCTGCAACGACCCACAATCCTGAGAACCGCGCGCAGCCTGGGAGCCCAAGAGTTCCCGCCCGCCCGCCCGCCCGCAGAAAGGCCGGCGTGGGGCTTGGCCGGAGCCGGGAGGGGGATGCTCAGGCGCAACTTGGCGATGCGAGGACCCCCTGCCGCCCCCGAACCCTGGAGCTGGACTCGCCAGCAAAGGGGAAGACAAGAGCATAGTGGAGAGAAAGAAGCAGGTGGCAAGGACATGAGGTTACCAGGAGGCATGCACCACCTGCCCTCCCATCCCCCTCTCCACACCCAGGCCACCCGGTGCGGCCCGCTGAGCACCGTCGGAGGGACCGAACGACCCCCGGCAGATGGGAGGCTGAGGATGGGGAGGGCGCGGGGCGGGCCGGGCGGGAGCTGGTAGTGTGAGAGGCCAGGCTCCGGAGAGATGCCCGCCCCAAACATTTGTACCCACCGCCCCAACCCCCATGGCGGTAGCCAGGCCGACTGGGCACCCCGGACGCCCGCGCTCTGCTCACCAGGCTCGTTATTGGCCGGGGACGGACTGGTCCCGTAGGGCGCGTAGGAGGAGTAGGCTGCGGTGTAGCCCAGGTCGTAGCCGCCCTTGGCGGAGTAGGGGACGCCGCCGAGGCCGCCCGCGTGGTACTGGTAGGAGCCCATGCTGGGGTAGGGCGAGCCGCCGCCGCCGCCGCCCGCCGGGGGCTGCTGGTTGGTGTAGTAGCTGCTGTCGGTGGCCGTGGACACCGGGAGGGTCGGCGACTCCTGCGGCTTGTGCAGGCTGCTGCCGGGGCCCGCGCCGCCGCCGCTCGGGGGCTGCGGGGGCTGGTGGAACGTGCTGGAGGCCGTGATCTGGGTCGAGTGCATGTCGGCCACCAAACTGTCAAAGACTCCGGTCATCCTGGCCCGGGACGGGGACAGGGACGAGCAGGGGTGGCGGCGGGGCGCGAGGGGGGAAGCGAGGCGCCTCCTCTGTCTCTCCCGGCCAGTCCCGTCCAGCAGCCAATGCAATACCGGGGTGGGTGGGCAGGAAGGAAAACGAGAAATGTGGCAAATGGTCTAGGCAACTCCTCCTCCTCCGGGGGAGGCGGTCACCGTGCACTGCTCGGGACAGCTGCCATCGGCCTCATCCTCTCCTCTCTCCGCCTCTCGGCCCCGCTCGGCTTCTTGCCCGACGTAGTAGGCTCGGGCGGGGCGGGCCGTGGAGGGGGTGCGGGGCGGCGGGGCGGCGGGGCGGCGGGGCTGGGCCGGGCTCCGGGAGGCGGGAGCAGGTGAGCGGCCCGCTGCGGCTTTACGCTTGTCTGCGGGGCGGGCTCCTGCAGGGTGGGCATTTAACACTTGTCACGTGAACCGAGGCGACGTCACCTAGCAACAGCCAATCAGGAGCGCCGGGCCGCGGGGCTTACAAGCACCCAGGATCGCCGGGCGCGGGGCGGGGGTGCAGGGGGGTCACAGGGCAGGCGCTGCGGCTGCTGTGGTCGCGGGTGCAGACGCGCTGCCGCTGAATGTGAGGGGCGGGGAGTTAGCGGGGCTGCGGCTGGAGGACAGAAGAGGGAGAGACTGGCATTTCCCATCCCGTGGACAAGTACCAACCAATCCCCCTGAGGTCAGCTCTCAAACAGGAGCCCAAAGAAAGCAGCGCCCAGAGCCGGGCCAGTTCTAGCACCGCATTTCCTCGAAGTGTCTGGCGCTTAACCTTTTTTTTTTTTTTTTTTTTTTTGTCAGCCACTGTGCACTGGACGCAAGTCAGTGGATTTAAATGATCCACAAACCACGTACTGTACAATAATAACTGCTTCCTAACCAACCCGCAGGGATATTAGGACAGTTAGTTAGATTGTATTTAAACGGTAACCCTTGTTGCTTGAGAGAAAAGATGTGTAAATCCAAAGGTATTATTGCTATCGATGTCACATCATTTTCCCTTGTACTTGCCTGACACGTGGAGAGGGGTGTGTGTTAGACACCCAAAAAGCCATCATGGGGATTTCCTCTCTAGGTTGGAAAGCTAGACCAGACTGACCAGATGGCGTCCAAGTTCATTTTAATCTAAAGTCTATGTTTTTACGAAAGAGAAAATGGAATAATACTTCGGCGAGAGAGTCCTCTCCATCTCCATCTATACCACAAGTTTTGGTAATCCTACAGAAACAAATAGAAAAGTTGTATCTCGTGCATGGAACCCTGTGTTACAGTTTTGCCCTGTAGGACCCTGTTCCACCCCATCGTTGAAACATCTTCTTTTAAATCGGAAGTGGCGACGTCCTCTCTACCTCTTATTTTCCGATGTTTGGGTCCGAGGTTGGGGGACGCTAGCCTTTACTGGACGCCCAAGTGTCCCCGCAGCTCCTTTGGCACTACCTGCCTTGTGGCGCCACCTTCTGGGGTGTGTGTGGTGGCGGCGGGCCCGGGAGACGGTCTAATCACGCCCAGGCGCCAGTCTCTGAAACCCCACAAAAGAACAAAATAGTAATTAAAAGCCACAAAATTGTGCTGGTGCGCGCCATCTGAAGCACCCCCTTCCTAAAGATATAAACGTGCAGCTGAAAGAACTTGTTACAACAACTGTCTAATGGGAAACAAGTTGATACTTTGAAAAAGACGATCTTTGGTCGTCTTCCCCAGAAAAAGCAAATGTGTAATTAAAACTACAGCATCCACACAGCTCAGCCTCTGCGGAAGAAGGAGGAAGGTAATACGCCTTCAAATCTGCCCGGATTTGGTTCCCAGTCTTCCTTCTGGTTAATGGAGGAGGGTGAGCTGCTTAGAGAGGCTGTGGGAGGTGGGGCTCGCTTACAGACAGGACCACCCTGCCTCATCGCTGCACACAGCCTGCTGCTCTGCGGGCCCCAGAAACAAAATCCAGCTCTAGATATTGAAACAGATTGCCTTTTGGTGTCTTGGTTCCAAATTCCAAGTTTTTCTGACACCACAGTGGCAGTTGCTTTGACCAAATATGGAAACTATCTGGGAAATGAAATATAAAAGATCCATTTGCAATCCTCTCACCTTCTCGGAGCTCCTTTGTTCTCACCCAAGCATGTCCTCCAGACTTTTTCCGCGATGTAAATTCGTTGTATTTTATCATCTATGTGAACCTCCATGAATAGCCTAAAGTGCAGGCCTGCTGACGTTCAGAAAATGGCATCTTCCTGGTCTGAGAGGCCTTCTTCCCTGCCTCTACATAGTGGCTCTGGGAACCTGCATATTCTGAATCTGTGGGTTCCTTCTAACACTCAGAGACCTGGGAGAGGGCGGGGTTTGGTGTAGGGGAGCCTCCCATTTCCACCTTCCCAGGACCAGACCCGTCCTGCTCTCATCCTGACTCAGCGGGAACCAGCTGTACAGGCAGTGGATGACTCTCAAGTCTCTGCGCTCCGCTGCTCCGGCATCCCCCCGCCACAGCCTCATGCCTCCTTTGCCTTCAGCTCAAAGACTGTCTCAGATTTATGTGACTGAGTTGTCTTTATGGATCTCTTGCTGCATGTCTCTCTCCATCATCTCTCCCTTGAACTTGAGGGTCTCAGTCAGCCACTTCCCTCCCACCCACTGTGCCAGGTGCTGGTAAAGTCGGTCCTCCAGAAGCTTACAGTCAAGTGGAAACAGCAGATATATTGCCATAAGCTAATAATAATGGGTAGCCTTTAGTTACTGAGAGTTTACTGAGCATCAGGAGTTCTGTCAAGCCCTTTGCCTTCCTTATCTCACTGACCCCTGGGTCCTATGTGGTGGGTACAAAATTATTCATATTGAGGCAACCAAGGCTTACGAGACCAAATCACTTGCTTTATGGACAGAGACGGGACTGGAACACAGAAGCAAAGCCACTGCGGATCTGGGCTGGGTTTTTGGCCTGGAGAAAACGCTCCACACCCACCTCTACCCAGATAGGGGTGTGTGTGTGTGTGTGTGTGTGTGTGTGTGTGTGTGTGTGTGTTGGGGATGGGTGTTGGGTGTGGTGAGGGCAGGGGTCACATGCAAAGGGACAGTGACAGTCTGAAGTCCAGCGTGGCCCTCTGGCCCCTAAGGAGGACGGGAAGGAGACATTTCTCCTGGAGACCAGCAGACCCGCAGGGGCCCATGTGCGGGAGGGCTCCCCAGATGGACCTGGGAAGATGCCGAACAGTCTTGAGGGTCATGGAGTGGTGGGGAGCAGGCACCCCCAGGCCCGCAGGCGAACTGGAGTTTGAAAGGGATGTTTTGCGCCTGCTGTGGATTAGCTGTGAAGTGAACCCGAAGGTTTTTGGGAAAAGGGGCAGACACTTGAGAGTCACCGTCAGCATCCTTCAGTGGTTGGGTCAGGGCGTTGGGTTGTCAGTTCAAAATGGAACAACAACAACAACAAAAAACACCAATCTACAACTCAGCTATGTAATAACATGGGCAAGAAGAACACAGCTGAGGACTGGGAAATAAGCAAAAAGAATGTTTTTGAAGTGGTCCAAAACAACATCTTAAAGTCCTCTTAAGCTTGTCTGCTCTCCTCAAAGGAAAGCCATTGGAACCCTTCTAGTGGGAAGTTTCCTGATTTATTCTTTGTAGGAAGCGGTTATGGGGGTTAAGCCTCAGACTGGCCTGCTGGCAAAGTCGCAAACAAACTCCAGCTTGGAGGGCACAGTCCTCTAAGCATCATTAAGCTTGATCTTGTGACTCCTCCCTAGATCTTTCCTGGGTAGCTAATGGGCTGTGGGAGGGGCTGCCAAAACAAGTGAAACTTATAAGAACATTGTAAATTACCTTGTTTGTCCACCGACTATAAATAAAGCATCAGCTTTGCAGTCTGGATGTCTTCTGTGGCCTCAGCCAGGCACAGAAGATCACCTAGACCCAACTTTTTCTCTTTGTCTATCATTTCTCCATCCTTTGTCACCCCGGTTCAGGCTCACAGAACCCTTGGCTGTGCTGGCGTGGCACAATTTTGTTTCCCTCTTTTAAGTTATTTCATTAACTAGAGTCTCGATGCACGAAATTCATGCAAGAGTAGGCCTTCCTTCCCACAGCTGCCAGCACCGGCTTCCCTCTGGCACCCAGGACCTGGGTGTCCCTCACAGCCCTCGTTTTGGATGTCTGGTCTAATTTGCATATTATACTTTTATTATTATAGACTAGTGGACTGGTGTACGAAATTTGTGCCTTGGGGGGAGGGGTGGATATCCCTCAGCCTGGCCTGCACCCTCTCTTATCTAGGATCCCTCAGGGGATGTCTGACTACTGCTGGTTTAGGCCCAATCCCTCTTGCCATCTGGAACTGCTGGCTCCTAACCACTCACATGCCAGCTTGGCTGATCGTCCCCTAACCACTTTGCCTGCCACCCTTCTTGCCCCCAACTGCCCCCTCTTGCTGGCCTGATGCCCCCAACTGCTCCCCATTCTCCCCCCCGCCAGACTGCTTGCCCCCAACTGCCCACCCTTGCTGGCCTGGTAGCCCCTAACCACCTCTGCCTTTGACCCTGCCACTATGACTTTGTCTGGAAGGATGTTCGGAAGGTGTCTCGGTCTAATTAGCATATTACCCTTTTATTAGTATAGATAGTATAATACTTCTTGCCTTTGTAATGCCTTTACCTTGGCTCGTCTCCTTAGCTTAAGTACCGTGGATCCGAAAAAGACTGTGGTAAGGAGTGGGCTGATCACCTCATGGCAACTCCTAAGCATAATAAGCGTGTGCCCAAGGCAAGAGTAACACTGACAGGGAGGGAGGGCCCCACGGGGCAGGGTGACAAAATCTCTGCAGCCCAGAACCTTTGAAAGGAAACACATATGATTTGGCTTAGACCTGCCAGAACCTCACTAACGATCGTTTTAAAACTTAAGTTCCTAACAATAAGAGCCAGCTGTGCTAACCTATTTCTATTTGTGGACTGAATGCACCTAGAAATAAAAACGGTTTGACTTCTATG